GTAACCCAGGCAGGAGTTTTCACAGCTGAGGGTATGACACATCAACAAGGCTCTTAAAACAAAATCCAGGCTCCCAAACAGGAGCACATGTGCTTCCAGGTGGCATTCCTGTCCTCAGATGTTCAAATGGGATTTCTTTCCTGTGCTTCAAACAGGGAATGTGCCAAAGGAAAATCGGAAACCCTCTCCCCCGTTCGCTGCCAGTAGTGACAACTTTGAACTCTTGCCTTCAGGCAACGTTTGTGTTTTCCTCCAGAAATACCTGGATTAAGGAATTGATTGTATTTTAACGACCTGATCTTTGCTGCCAGAGTATTTTCAAGGTGTATTACAAGCAGTAATTAAAGATGCAAAGCTTTCATGGGCAGTTACATCACCGCTGGAAAACTGAGAGGCAAGAGGCTGATGGGAAGTTCAATAACTAAAATTAAATAAAGCCACAAATGAAGATGGATTTATTCAAGCTTAGAAATAAGCTTGGCTGTTTGCATGCCTGGAAGAGCACTGAGAGCAAAGCAAAAGAGCATTTACTGATGGGAAAATCTCTTCTCTTGCAGGTTGTTGGTCTCCTCTTGCCCAACCAGACGCTGGCATCCACTGTGTTTTGGCAGGTAGCACCTGCTGGGATGGGTGGGGAATGTAGGGGAGAGGAAAGTGGAATTTTGCCTGGAGGACAAACTGATGCACGTGGCTGTTCTGCTCTGGTCGTGGTTTAGGAAGAGGATGTGGCTGGATATAATTAGGGAAGGGTTTGGTAGGTCTGGGAGGGACCATAAACCAATATATGGGTCCGTTTTATCCCACAGCTGCTTTTGCCATCACAAAGGAAGTGGCAAAATGGTCCAAAATTTCATAATCAGCTTTTTGAACCCATTTGGTACAGGTGTAAATGTAAACAGAAAGAAAATTTTGACACGTCCGCTGATTTGTGGACACCCTGTCGTGTAGTTTGGATCTTCCCTGGTGAGCTCCCCTTGGAAGTGCAGGGCTAGGGGTGACAGGAGGCCCCATTCCCAGGAATTTTGGGAATAGCTGTGCATTGCAAAGCCAAGGACCTCTGCTTTCAGTTCGCTGCAGGAGCTTTGGGGAAAAAAATAGTCTGTGTGTAGGGAGGTGTTGGTGTAATTTCCCACTAAAATTCTGGGAATTAGGAGTAAGGGGAGGAGGTGTGCACGTGAATGAGTTATATCCATAGTAAACACGCCACTTCAGTGCGATTTCAGCACTCACTGAGACGGAGGAACAAGTTATTTTCAGCCTTATTTTCGGTGGTGAATGTCTTTTTATTGTCTGCAGTGTAAGTGACGATAGGGAATTATGCAGTTGAGGAACATCAGAGCAGAGTGGGATCTGCCTGGTGTGTTAAAAGCACGGCAGAGCCGAGAATCTGTCGGAAGGTGCTGGTAACTTGTGGTCGGGTGGGTTTAGCTGGAGGTTGTGCCCTGTGGCTTCACCTGCTGGGAGTGGGAGAGTGGCTGGAGACATCCTGGCTCCTCCAGGTTTTTGCAGGCAGCTCCTCCCACCTGTTTTTAGACATTTGTGTTGGAATCACAGAATGGTTTGGGTTGGAAGGGACCTCAAAGACCATCTCGTTCCGTGGGAAGGGACACCTTCCCCCTGCCCTGCCCAACGTGGCCTGGAGCACTTCAGGGATGGGGCAGCCACAGCTTCTCTGGAAATCCATTCCAGCCCCTCACCACCCTCCCAGACAGGAGTTCCTTCCCAATATCCCATCTAAAGTTCTCATACTTCAGTTTGAAGCGATTTCCCCTTGTCCTGTCTCTCCATCCCTTGTCTAAATTCCTCCTCCAGCTCTCCAGGAGCCCCTTTAGGCTCTGGAAGGTGGATTGTCTCCCCTCATCCAGCCTGGAACATGGAGGTCTTGGAGCTCGTGGAGCATCACAGAACCCTGGAATGGCTTGGAAGGGACCTCAAAGACCATCCTGTTCCGTGGGAAGGGACACCTTCCCTGAGCCCTGCCCAACATGGCCTGGAGCACTTGAGGGATGGGGCAGCCACAGCTTCTCTGGAAATTTGTTCCAGCCCCTCACCACCCTCCCAGACAGGAATTCCTTCCCAATATCCCAGACAGGAGTTCCTTTCCAATATCCCATCTAAAGCTCCCACATTTCAGTTTGAAGCCATTCCCCCTTGTCCTGTCTCTCAATCCCTTGTCCCAAGTCCCTGTCCAGCTCTCCTGGAGCCCCTTTAGGCTCTGGAAGGAGCTCAAGGTCCTGTATTTCAGTTTGAAGCCATTCCCCCTTGTCCTGTTCCTACATCCCCTGTCTGAATTCCTTCTCCAGTTCTCTTGAAGCCCCTTTAGGCACTGGAAGGAGCTCCAAGGTCTCCCTGGATCCTTCCTTTCTCCAGGTTGAAGAAAGAACACAACTTTGGTCCATAAATAGTCTTGGAGAAGATTTTGGTCTCCCAAAAAAAGGATGTGATCCTGCTGTTCAGATCCTGTGCTGTTACAGAGATTCCAGCCTCTGGATGGCTGGTGGATGCTGAGGGAGCTGGGAGACCTTTTGGGCATCCCATCAGGATTCTCTGGGATCTGCTGGATAAAAAGTTGCCCCTCATACCCCACAAAGCCCCCACAGTGAGTGTTCAGTGAGACAACCTGCTTTGCAGACTTGCCATCCTGTTCCCTCCATCCTCACATTCCAAAAATGAGGGATAAGGCAGCTGGGTGGGCAGCCAGCAGTTAAAATCTGAGCTGTTTTGCCCTAAAAATTCATCTCAGTTGTTCCCTGACACCCACCTGCAACCCCCAGCTTGGGATCCTGCAGGGATGAGTCTCCACCTGAGCTCACCAAGACCTAAATCCCCCTTGTATCCCTCAAAAAAACCCCAAATTCCAGCATGTGAATAACAAGACCCTGGAATAATCAGCCCCTTGGGAACCCAGTCGNTAGAACTTGAACATTGTCATTAGACCCTGAATAATTGTCATTAGAACCTGAATATTGTCATTAGAACCTGAATATTGTCATTAGAACCTGAATATTGTAATTTGAACCCAAATATTGTCATTAGAACCCAAATATTGTCCTTAGAAGCTGAATATTGTCATTAGAACCAGTATATTGACATTAGAACATGAATATTGTCATTAGAACATGAATACTGTCATTAGAACATGAATATTGTCATTAGAACTTGAATATTGTGACTAGAACCTGAATATTGCCATTAGAACCTGAATAATTGTCATTAGGATCTGAATCTTGTAAGCTGAACCCAAATATTGTCGTTATAACCTGAATATTGTCATTAGAACCTGAACACTGTAATATTTGTCGCCGTGACAAAGGAGCGATTTTTGCCTTTTGAGACTCAAAACCGGCCCAGAGAATTATTAATTAACTCGAATTAAATTAATTGATTATCATCTAAGGCATTGTCTCCCACGGCAGCGGGGAATTCCCAAGGTCTGGGAGGTGACTTACAGCCCTGGGGGCCTGAGAGCCATGCAGGGTGATGACCCCGATGTCGACGCCCTCGTCGCCGGTGCTCTTGAGGAGCTGCACGACCTCGGCGTGCTTGGCCCACCTGCAGTCCTTGCCATTGACTGAGACGATGTAATCCCCCTCCTTCAGCCCGGCTGCCTGCAGGGAAACAGGGAAGACAGACATCTTGGAGCTTGTGGAACGTCATGGAATCGTGGAATGGCTTAGAACAGACCTCAAAGACCATCTCATTCCGTGGGAAGGGACACTGTCCCCGAGCCCTGCCCAACGTGACCTGGAGCACTTCCCAGGATGGGGCAGCCACAGCTTCTCTGGAAATCCATTCCAGCCCCTGAATACCCTCTCAGACAGGAATTCCTTCCCAATAACCCAGACAGTAGTTCCTTCCCAATATCCCATCTAAAGTTCTCATATTTCAGTTTGAAGCCATTCCCCCTTATCCTGTCCCTCCATCCCATCTCCAGATTCCCTCTCTTGGAGCCCCTTTAGGCACTGGAAGGAGCTCCAAGGTCCCATATGTCAGTTTGAAGCCATTCTCCCTTGTCCTGTTCCTCCATCCCTTGTCCCAATTCCCTCTCCAGCTCTCCTGGAGTCTCTTTAGGCACT